GGTTGTTGTAGTAGTAGGTAAGAGTAAGCGGGAAACACGGATGAATGTCTAATTTTAAAGCGGATAGTTGCCGGAGTCGTCCGCCTCTCGTTCTGTTTCCTCCACCTCCTCCGTGATATTAAATTGGCGAGTTCATAAAGTTCCTGGTTTGGATGGTGTGTATGTACAAAACGGGCATTATATTACTACTCGTGCACAACGTACTACCGCTACCTTAGTTGTTGTTGTTGTGTACGTTTTGAAACTGTGTTTCAACTTGTAAATGTTGGAAAATCGTGTTTGGTGGAAAATCAAATAAATTAAACGAAGTAAATTAAATCAAATGAATTTATTTAAAGATTAGAATAATTTTAAAAATAATCGAGTTGATTTTAGGGGTGAAAGTTCACAATGGAAAACCATCGAAAACCCAATATTTCGCGTAAAACGCAATCTAAAATTAATATCACCGTTTTGGCTATTGTTCGAGGTTTGGCGTTTTCAGTATTTTTTTTTTGTAACTATCGGAGTGGGGTTTTAGGGATCTGTCCACCACTTCCAACGGTTGCATGTGTCACCACAAAAAGCAATTTTGGGCCTGGCAGAAATTGAATTTACCTGGATGGGCGACGGCATTTTACCGTGACATTACAACGAGAGACATCGGAGATTTTTCGATTCGGACGCGCGATACACGCGGATATTTTTACGCTCTCATGTGTCCGACCCCTTTTTTAATATCATCATCCTCCCCCCAAAACGGGGTCCCTTTTTTTATTGTTTCTCCGGTTATCGGCTACCCATACCACCCTCAACCGATCATACAAAGGCAAAGTTCGATAAATGCGAGTGACGAGTGAATTTTCAATTTTTCCCATTTCCATGTGTCAACGTTTAAACAATTACATGATTTCAATTATTTGGTGTTTTGATTAAAACTTTGTTTTAAAAAAAATATTTTTTTTACCCCAATAACATTGATAGGGAATAACTAATATTATCAAGAAAAAATAGCGTTCTTTCTCCCCCCATTCATTTAATACCTTATTCGCATTTTCGCATAAAAAAGCAAACACATTTTTCGCCTGTCCGCGTCCCCCTCGCTGTTCTTTAATGCATCCCCTGTACCTGAACCGAACACACACTCTTCTCGCCGTAAAATTGCATTCCGAAGGGAAACAGGGGATGCGCACCAAGGGAATATCAAATCATAAACCATCCACAAAAAAAACTCGCAAAGAAATTTCTTAAAGAAAAAGAACAAAAATTTATAGAAAAAAAATGTTTTTTTCACATTATTACTTTTTTATTTTAAACCTATCGGGGATTATCATCCTAGATCATCCTAGTGCGTAAAAATAATATTCTTCGAGATATCCTGAATTACCGTGATATGATATGCAACGTATTGTTAAGAGGGAAATTAAATTAACGTTATTTTGAAAGATGCTCTTCACAAAACTTGTTTGAATTTAATTCTAAACAAATATTGCTTCAAGAAAATTTTGATGGGACCAATTATACTAGTTTAGAAATTTTATTCAATTTTTTCCTCGAAGACTATAAACTGAAACTGTCTTCAGTTTTTCTCCATCACGTCCAGTTTTCGAGATATACCCAAAAATGTGGAAAATCGTAAATTAAGAAACATAGTAATGGTTCATGTTCAGTATACAGGGTGTTTCGGTGACTCGGGGAACAAATGTAACCACATATACTAGAGTGAAAATGATAACGATTTATGTAAAAAAAAATTGGTAAAAGTCCTCAAATTGCAAAGATACAGGCCATCAAAGTTAGGAAATTTTAACATATTTTGCTAAATATCTTAAACACTATTTATTTATTTCATGTGGGTACAGAAACAGGTCGAACCCAATAATACTGTACCACAAATAACCAATTGTATACAAATAAAATAGAATTACAGTTCACAATAATAATAATAATGAATTAACATTAATGGTACAAAAGTGATCCAAAGGAAAAAAAAACTAAAACTAAGTTTAGGTGATATAAATATATCATATATCAAATATCAAATGAACGCTCGAGGCAACACACCAACTGCAGCAAAGAGCAGTTTTTTAAATGCATAGAAAGAATGCTGAAACAGATCTATGTTAACACGATTTGCCGATCTTGCCATTCTCAATAAAGGAGAGTTTTGACAGGCATTGGTTCTAGGAGTAGGTGTCATAAATAGAAAATCAAAGCGAAGTAATCTCGGAGGAACGTGAACACATATAGAACCAACAAGCATTGGAGAATCACACTTGTTGTTCAAAAGTTTGTAAAAATATAATATATCCCCACAAAAGCGACGCTGGTTGAGGGTTAACATACGAAAAGAAGTGCAAGTTGATTCGTAATCAATGTATTGAATGGAAAATTTAAAACAAAGGTATTTGAGGAATTTAGATTGAATACGCTCAATTCTAGATTTATACGAGAGATACTGAGGATTCCAAACGACGCTGCAGAAGTTAAGTGTGCTGTAAACATAGGCAAAATAGAGATTTCTAATT